TTGATTTTTAAACTATGACGTCGCTTTCCTTACGACAAAACGTCAGCAAGCTAAATATCAGAGTGTATTATACAGTAAATTGTCGTGTTTCCCCTTATCGTTCTATTTGGCAGCTGCAAGAAGGATTGCTATTCTAAAAATCAAGTCTTAACTTTATGGTTTCACAGATGATAGGGCATTTTATCATTGCGCGAGAGCGTCTGTCAGTTTCTAATGAGTTGCACCAATTTATGCGTGCAAACTATTCTTAATTTTTACGGTATTTCGCGCATCCTTTTCAAATGATTTCTTATAATTTGGACTCTGCCATGTAATTTCAGTTGTATGCGGCACACACAAACGCATAGTTAACTCTAACAATGTGGTGAGGCTCCATGCCTCGTTTGCATTTCTTTGAACTTTCAATGTAACGCCGAACAGTAAACTGAGAAATACTCGGTTCAAAGAGCTTGAGAGGTCGACTATTTGATCTTTAAAAGGATTGAACAATAGCTCATTACAAAGCTACTAACGCATCCCGTTGATCCTTACAAGTTATTATAACAATTACAACGCATCTTTATCTTCATCTTTAAACCCATATATCAACCGATTCGAAAAGGATTCATTGTAACTTTCTACGAAAAATGGCAATTTCTCCGGGTGAGTTTAAAACGCTCTAGTTTCTCTCTTTTCAATTTTATTCAAAGAGTGGCTGTACTCGATATTTTTTTTCTTGCCACTGCGTCGGTATCATTGTCGACAAAAACAGACGAGTCCAAGAGAACTTTTAGTAAACAATTAAAACTTGAGGCTGGAAAGGGGAAAATAGACCGCGCACGATGGGGGAGGGGAAAGGCCCTGGGAGGGAATTCTATTGAAACCCCTAAAACTCCGTCTTTCTTCAGTATCCTGTATATCTCGTTCGGCTGTCGTGTGCTCAAATCAGGGTACTACTGTGTAGTATAATCCGTCAGATATTTTCGCTCACACGTAATTGGTCTACACAAGTCACGTAACTGAATATGTCCCAGCTAAAATAAAAACAAGACAATACATGAAAAGGGAATGATTCATTTTAGATAGCTCTGTGTAGTACAATCTCTAAATTCCAGTTGTTCTTTAAGCTTTTTGGACAGATTATTTCCAAACACAAATTCCAATTTTACCAGAGGACCCGCATGAAAATCAGGTAAGGCTGACGTGGCTTTCTCTCTAAATAGTGTAATTTATTTATCTATTTAAAAAAAAACTTTAGTATCTCATAATACTCAACAAATAGTTCTCATAGTTAATAATCAACAATTTGAAATCTACTACACTGGCTTCTTTATTAATTGATTGATTCATTATCTAATCATTTTTTCGTTAGTTATTCCTTTAATTAGCTGCCGATTTATTCATACATCTTCTAGAGAAACAGGACTGTCCTTGCCTTAAATCTTAAGTTGACAGAAGACGTCCCTTGCAAGTAGACAAGGAACCTTTCCCCTCATCTTGTTTTTCTTGCTTTTCTTGTTCGCGTTCTCGTTTTTCTTGTTAACATCTCCGTTCTACGTGGTACCATAATTCGACAGCTAAGATAAAGGTTAAGAAACAATACTTTCATTCTAGTTGCGATGAAACGTGGACCGTTTGAACAGCCAACATCAACTGCAATGATCGAATATACGCTGGTGCATTAAATGACAACAAGCCTTTAAGAAAGTAAAATTTCGAAGAAACATTTGAAATTTTCCAAACAATAATCTTAGCAGCTAGGCGCGCAAAATTGACACAAGAATTTTAAACACCTTCTAGTTATCGCGATAAGTCTTTATAGCGACTTTGTGTCAAATCATACGTCATGTATAATTCAATTTAATCGGGGTAATGACTTCTAATCAGGTTCCCCGAGGGAAGATAGTACGGAAGGATGTTATACTTTTACTGCGAGCAGTCTCTCTTTTGCGCATGCTCGAATTAAAAATTCCGCGGAAATTTAAAGAGCGTAAAGAAGAACGCAACGCAAGCGAGCGAACGGACGTGTGCGAGCGTGCATGACATTTCACGCTCGCGGTCACGCTCGTAGGCTCACTTGTTTTGCGTTCTTCCCCAGGGACTTCCGAGCAAAAGAGAGATTTCTCGCAGTCTAGAGGGATGTGAGCTTGGCCAGAGAATAACTAACGAAGGAAAACTAATTGGAATGACATGGCGTGACATGGAAAGCCGTAGCGCAACGGGACGTGACATGACATAATATGGCTTGACATGAGATGACATGACATGACAGCTGAACTATCGGGATTGCTGTCTTACAGCAGATAGCTTCTTATTGCTTCCTTAGGCTGCGACTGACAGATTGCGACATCTCTTAATGGGCAATATTCAAGATGATTACTCAGTGTTGAAGAATAGCTTTTCTTTCTGTTGCTATTTTGTTCTTTGTCCCTCAAGACTTCAAGATGTTTTCAACTGTCTGTGGCTTCCAGAGCCTGGCTTTTTTTCCAACTCGGAGGCGATAGGGTCTAAAAGTACTCACGAGTGACCACGAGTGACCACGAGTGACCACGAATGACCACGAGTGACCACGAGTGACCACGAGTAAGGTTACATCAATAAATGTCAGTGATGTTATTAAAAGTAAAAACGTAAATTTCATTGTAAGGTCGTTTCATCAAATAATGACATATCCACCAAACTGAGGCTATTTACTGGTGTAGTAATCAGAGATTACAGCAGTGGCTGTGCGTCCACAATTCGATTGTTCAGTTCCTTTACAAATATTGGCTGTTGAAATATGTTCCTTGATGCTTATTACGTGACCTTTTTCATTTGTGAAAGCGAAAAAAAATCCGAGATTTTACGAAACGAAGTGAGGCTCAAAACTTTTGCGTGTTTTGTTTGATTAAATAACAGTTAACGATCTGCAAGTCAAGTTGAACTAGCAATGAATAGATTAAAAACTTGTAAAACTATAAACTTGTAAGAAACTCTAAACTTCCAGGAGAAGCATTTCTTTAAACTTTTTTGTCGAAACTGAACGTTCAATTTCAGAACGCCAACGCTTGTAACAAATACTTCTTGACATAGTTTATAGTCAAAGGGCGCATCGCCAAAAATTTTACTTTGCATTTGTATTTTTTTAAAATTGCTCGAATTTACGACGTCTTGTTTTCAAAAATGAAAACTGTTAAATTAGTAATGAATAAACCATTCTGATCACAAATCACGGCCTTTTGGGCAAGCTACACAACTCGGAAGAATGTTTGACTCCTGACAACTTATCATAGCCATTTGCCGAGCTACAACTCGCAAAATTTATTTTTCAATTCACATTTTTGGGTTTCCCTTTCATTCCATGATATGCAATCTGCAATCTTTTGTCCACATGCCACGATTGTGAACACCTCCAAAGGAGTAGGGGGAAGACATAGAGAAGATGCACCTCTTCTAAACTGAGTCGCTAAAAATCATCGGACGTGTTCTAGTTAAACTAGTTGCGTTCACGTGGTGTAACGCAATCCTAGTCCAGTCCGTTCAAAATTTTTTGGGACGACCGTGTTCATCCATGTCCTCCTTGTACTGTAGCAGGGGCAAATAACAACATGAGTGCGTGCACGCAGTCACGAGTTAGATCCGATGGCACTGCGTATGAATAACGCAAAGTGCTAGCTACAGTTTGGCGCTGTGATTCTCGACTACAAGTACGTAACTGAGCATGAATGCTTTGCAACTCGGTGTTGAGAAAATATATATATAGTCCGCGCCTGAAGTTTCGAGCCTCACTTCGTTTGATAAAACCGCTCGGATTTTTCTTCGCTTTCAGCCTGAAAGAACATAAGCTCAACAGCCAATATTTGTAAAGGAACTGAACAATGGAATCATGAACGCACAGCCACTGCTGTAATCTTTGATTACTACACCAGTAAATAGTTTCAGTTTGATGCATATGTCATAATCGTGATGAAATGATCTTACAACGACGTCATAATGACGTAATAATAACATTATTGACAGTTTTTGAAGTAATCTCACTCATGGTCACCCATGGTCACTCGTGGTCACTCGTGGTCACCCATGTTCACTCGTGGTCACTCGTGGTCATTCGTGGTCATTCGTGGTCACTCGTGGTCATTCGTGGTCACTCGTGGTCACTCTAAGTACTTTTAGACCCTATCCTCGGAGGCACAAAGTGGCGTCAAGTATGCCTGCAAAGAGATTAATGAATGAATGAACGAAGGAACGAAGGAACGAAGGAAGGAAGGAAAGAACGAACGAAAGAACGAACAAAATAAATGTATGTGAGTTTGTAAGTTTGTCCTAGCTCTTCCGTGTTTTTTCTTTTTAAGTCCTCGAAACCTTAAACTTCGAGGTCGGTCATTTTATGTATGTGGTATACGGAGGCAGTGCTCCCGCCGGTCGATAAGAGCTGTGAAATTGCCTATACACTATTTTTACACTAAAACAATGGTGTTCGTTATATATTTTTTGTTTTTAAATACGGAAGGACGCAATGTTTGAATTTTGGCGAATATAAAATTTGGTGGTTCAAATAAGTTCTAAAAATTGATGTTTTAAATTACCTCTTCATATGAGTCTCTGTCAAACAACCAAAAACTGAATCCTTGTCTGTCGGCAACTTTCGTATCATCTTCCAGTAACTCGCAATCTTTTGTCCCCTCCATGTCTATGACAGTAGCTAAATTAAACGCGCGGCACCGAGGCAGACGTAAACAGAAATCACCGCACTGGGTGAGGGTCAGGACTTTGTAATGTTCTAACACGTGACCGTCTATAGCCTTGTCTGTGTTGTTATCTTGAGAGATGACAAAGTCCTTACGAGAGCAGGATAGGAGATCCTCTGTGGGGTCTGGGACCGGTGGTGTCCACAATCCATATGCTGAAAAACAATTCAAACTACAGCTAAAGTGCTAATTATTGGCAGCCACCAGGAGCCCATCACCAGGAGCGTGCAACTACCCCATATTCCTGTCACGGCATTTTCACAGACCGGTCTATTTTGTGTTTGAATTTACCGC